CCCCCCCCCCCTTGTGTCTGTGTGCAGGTTGGCCCAGCCTTACATCTACCCGCAAGCATATGTGCAGCCCAGCCTGGTGCTGCCCACTCAGGTTTCTACTTCTGTCAGCACCAGCCCGTACCTGGACTACAGCGCAGCCTACACCCAGTACGCCCAGGCTGCCTTTGAGCAGCAGTACCCGTACGCCGCCTCCCCGGCTGGCTTCTTGGGCTACAGCTACACCGCCAGCCCCACAGCCACTGTTGGGCCTTCCACCGCCACCACAGCCCCGCCTACCGTACACCCCACTCTCCCTTCTGCCACTGGCACTGGTGCAGCGTTCCTGCATTACGCCCCACAGCAGCACATCCAGCCAGACCGTATGCAATGAGCAGGTTGAGGAGCAGAGGAAGGGGTGCAGGAGATGGAGGTGGAGTGGTTGCAAGCCTTTGGACAGAGGATATTGAAAAATGCCCTACGGGGTGATCCTGCTGTTGCCAGAAGTAGCTTTCAGGAAAAAAGGGTGGGACTATTGCACTATATGATCAGGATGAGCTTTTGGCTCATTGGTTAAAGGGTAAAAGTAGTGGGAGGACTAAGGTTCAGGTTGAGAAGCTGAGCAGTATATGTGGCTGCTTCCGAGAGCTTCCAGAAGCTGACACTTCGTCTTTTTTCTTTTTTTTCTTTTTTTTTATTATTATTATTTTTATCCTTCTTTATTAATGTCCTTGTCCATGTTTTATTTCTATGCTATTATTATCAATGTTCGCATGTTTCTCTGCTCAATCAGTGGAAGTTGTATATGTCCATGGTACATGTTGATGTTTTGAGAGCTGTCGGGGACATGTTAAACCCCTGTTACCTCCAGATTCCCGTGGATCTGGGGTGGATATGAAGGGCAATGCTGCTTTAGGACACTGGGGGAACAGTCAGAGATGAGGGTGTACGGTGGTGATTGGGGAGCCTATCCCGGTGCTATACACAGTAAGGCAGAGCACTGCCCCATGAACAAACTTCCAGTGTTCAGCACCACACAGGAGGACAACAAGAGAGTTCACCTCAAGAGGTAACAGAAAGTTTCAGTATAAGACTGTCGGAGCTCCATTGTCCCAAGATGATGTCAGGACTACACACTTATTTTATTTGAAGAGGCCTTAATTTAAAAACAATAACAACTTCCTTTTTGAAACTTAAGTGCCCCTCCCACACCAGAGAACCAAGTGCAGAGAGTTCCTTGAAACTGACCTAACTGTTTCCAGCAGTCACATTTATCTGACTTGGGTCTTGATAATTTCAGATGGATGTAGATAATCACAAGCAGTATGTGGCCGTACGGGGACCAGGAGCTTTGTATATCGATGTTTAAAGGTAGCTGACACTGAGCTCAAACACCAGTGTTGTTTCTTCTTTTGTCACTGAGATTGTCAAACTGTTGCTCTCAAAAAGGACATTCATGTACAGCATTTTAATGTTGTCTGTCATTAAGTACATTTACAATATTTATATGTAGGTATTTATAAGAGGTACTAAGTTAAAATAGCTTTTTTTTTTTGTTTCGTTATGACTACAGTTATGGCACTGAAGTCATTTAACTTGCAGAGACACAGCTGCACCCCGTCAGTGGATTTGACAGCTGGCTCATTGATGCCCATTCATATTTTCTGGAAATGTTCTAGATTTTTTATTTTTATTTTTTATTTTTTCTCCAATAAGAATGTCTTTTACAGTTCCTTCAAAGAAGCCATACCAAAAAATAAAATAATTTGTACTTAAATATGCCTCCTGTTGTCTTCTGTCTTTATTATTATGTGAAGTGTCAACGATTAAAACCAAAGAGCAAATTTATGTCATTGCATTTGTAACAAAATACACATCCGTGTGTGTGTGTGTGTGTGTGTGTGTGTGTGTGTGTGTGTGTGTGTGGCAATGAGTGCTGTCAGGTCTTGCATATGAGTGTTGGGGGTGGGGGAGAGCAGGAGGCCCAGACTTTTATCAAGCAACAACAACACCTTCTCAGCAGAGCTGGGTGTTCCCTTGGACCGTGCACTTTGCTTTCGTTCCCTTGCTGAGGCTTTAGTATAAAACTTAAATAAAAGGTGTTTGTCAGAAAGTGCTCTGAGGCCCATTATGCTGAGCTGCAAGTAACTTTTTTTTTTCCTGTCTCTGCTAAACAAGGCTGCCTAGCACTGTCTCCCAGCAGCATTTTTTTTCCCCCTGTTTGTGCTTACATCAGCTTCTTTAGGGGATGTGTCACTTCTAAAACCCCGCTAAGCCCGGGAAAACGAAACGCAGGCAGGGTTGTAAGAAACAAAAACGCATCATTTTGTTCTCAACCTCAATTTTATCCATGCAACAATGATTTACAATATCATCCTGAGTTCAAGGGATGTTTTTATTTTTTTAGGTGCTATTGTTTTTCATTGAAATCCATTCACACCTTATTCATGCTAGAGTTACACTTGGACATGTTTACCTTCAAGTTGTTTTGTATGAGTTTTATTGCATGTAATTATTTGCATACTTCTCTCTCGTGGCTAGGCTTTCTTTTCAAAAGCTACACCAAGTTTCTTTTAAATAATGCAGTGTAGTGTCATTCTTCCACCTTCTAGTAGATTAATGAATACAAAACAACTGTAACTGTATTAGGCTGACTGAGGCTGTAAAGAACTGCTAAAATGACTTAACGATGCTAACTCAGCACTGTTAAAATTTAACCCAAGCAAGAATCACAGAGCCACACAAAGTAGTGCAGTCTCTGTACCAAAACGGCCTTCAAGGCCACTCTAACCTAAAAGGGAATTAATCCCTACAGACATCTGTGTTAAAATACCCAACAGCATTAAAATCCATGTTTAACCTGTTATAAAAAGTGTTGGTCTTTTCATAACACCTGCATAATGGCTCAATGAAGCATGGCTGCTTTGCTTGACAGGTGTGCTGATAATGCTGTAGCCGGTCACTGCTAGGCCTCAGCTTTGGTGGTGCAGCCTGTTCAAGAAGCTTCAGTTTTGATGAGTAGTAGGTGTAGTATTTTATTAGCATCGATTAGCAGGTATGGAGTGGGTTGCATGCATACATAGATGCAGTTTGCTGAGCACTTACCCTAGCATGTCACCCTCGCATCTAAATATGGTAAATTATTATAAAGCCAAAACTTGAATGAGGAAGGTTTAAAATGCAGAAATCATGGGTAACATTTAAGTGGTTACATCTATCACTTTTTAAAATATGGTTAAAAGCGGGATTTTTTCTATGGTCCCATCTTACGAGCCAAGCTTGCTAGCATTAGCTGATAACTTAGCACTCCACTGTAGTGTCCAAACATATGGTCACATATGGCTCTAAAACACAACAAAAAAAAATCAAAGATGGTAATGGTCACAAAGGTGGTGGTGACATCATAATAACCATTTCCATCTTGCTATTCTACACTTTTAACCATATTCATCACCTTATCTTTGCAAGTTAGCATAATAGCATTTCAGTTAGCACCAGAGGATGAGCATTTTGTTTTTCACAACACTGGAGCAAGAGTGCTGTCAGGGACTAGAACATATTTCCCCCACACTGGCTCCCTGTTATATCCAGAATCAAATTTAAAATCCTTCTCATGCAAAGTCTTGAATAATCAGGACCTATTTTGCCTTAAATACCTCATATTAGCGCTTAGACTGCTGGGGGCTTCCTTATCACTCACCTCTTTTTACTTTCTATGTGTTTATACACCACTTTGCATTTAATCATTACTTATGATTATTTTCTGGCTATTTTCCACAGTATGTATTTTGTCCCGTCTTCCTTCCGTCATCCTCAACCGGCCACGGTAGATGTCCGCCCCTCCCTGAGCCTGGTTCTGCCGGAGGTTTCTTCCTGATAAAAGACAGTTTTTCCTTCCCACTCTCACCAAATGCTTGCTCATGTGGGGTCATCTGATTGTTGGGGTTTTTCTCCCTATTATCCTCGGGTCTTTACCTTATAATATAAAGCATCTTGAAGCAACTGTTAGTGTAATTTGGTGCTTTATGAAAGAATTAAATTGAATTGATGATAGCAAAATAAGTTTGTGTTCAGGAATTGTGTTAAGGATCAAAATGTACCGACAGAGTAAGAAGCCATGCAATGTGTTTAGGACACACTGCAGACGATTCCAACACACAGAACAAGTTGCAGTTTTTATAGCTGCAACATGTCAGAGATTTTTAAACACTTGTGTTGAGCAGAATTATTATATCTGCTGTTGCTGTGTTTACTGGTTGCGACTGTAGTGAGGCAGCTCTGGTCCCACTCGTTTCTCTTTACTTCACTTTGTCACTATTAATCTTTCACTATCTCACCCCAGTCCTTCTGTGTTTGTGAACTCGCTCACACATTTGTTTACTCAACTTTTCTGCTTGTCATTTCTACTCCCCCCCCCCCTTTCCTAACACCTCCCCATCTACCTCACTTCAGTGCTAGCAGTTCTGTTTCTCCTCACGTGCCGTTTTCCCCTTTTTTTGTCGCCCCTGTTTTCTCTCTCTGCCTTTCTCCTCGTCTGTTCTCATCCTTGCTTATCTTTTTCTCCTCGTCACATTCTTCTTTTGAATTACATGGCAGAAACAGAGCCTGGTGTCAGCTTGACGAACGAGGTCACGGAGGTCCAGCAGACCTCGTTATGCTGAGTCACCACGAGGCCTCTCTGTCTGTCTCTCGGCCTGTCTCTCTTTCACATGCACATACAAAATAAAAGGTTCAGTCAAATCTCGCTCTCCACTTGCTTCTCACTCTGCTGTGCCACTCTGACGTCAAGTGATTCCTCAGAAGAGTCATGAAAACAGTCCTATCTTATCATACCCCAGCTCAACTTTAATCACAAACTGCTCGCATCACCATGACTCTCAAATTAGACGCCCATATGAAAAAAAAGAACCTTTCTATAATTCAAGTCCTATGTGTGTATAGAATAAAATATCAATGGAAGGTGTAACAGCATGATTACTTGCACCTTATTAAAGAAAGGTAAGTGTTGTATTTTATTTAGAAACTATATGACAAGTGTGAGAATCAGGCAGCCCTGATTTGAAAGTTAATCTTTCATAGAGAGTCATAAATTACCCATTTTATGAGCGTGTTATTTAATATTTGGGATATAACCACAAATGAGTATCTGACTGTCTATAGAGCCTCCTGTGCCTGTGATGCTCGTCAGGGCGCTGCCCCGATGGGCCCATGTGGGCCTGGGGAGTGTTGGTGCAGTGGCGTCTGATAGGCTTCAGCTACTATATTTACCCTGCCTCTCATAAGAAAATACCAGACCCAAGAAACCCATCACATGTTCTCTCCTGTGGCCTTTTCCCACATCAACAACACATTGAGATAACATGGACAGGTCTGGAGAGAGTCAGGTTTAAATTAGAAGCAGAGACAGTCAGTAGGTCAGTGAGGGGTGGGGGACGAGTGATCGGTATTAAAGCATTAAAAGGCCAATCAACAGAACAGATGACTTAAACTGGAGAAGTGGAAAAACATCTCTGGACACTAACTTGTTTAAACAGGGTGTACTGACATTGTTTGTGTTGCACCTAAAATGAGAGACAGTCTAACTGTAACCAAGGGGAACAGAAGCTCATGACAACAGAATCCGATTGAGTGGATGAAGAATCTCCAGTTGGGACACCCGTGCTGTGCTTTAGCCGTACTTGAAGGTGACATTGTCAGAGCACAGTGCATAAAGGATCGCTTATCTCAGTAATGTGCTGGAGGTTGTTTTGCTTTTTAACCCAGTTTGCAATAGAAGAAGTGTGAAAGAAAACAACATGTATGATGCATGAAAACAAAAGAAACAGAAACCAGGAAATGAGAACTAAAAGCATTTCAACTGATTGAAAACTTGCCAGTAACCTCAAATTGTTCAAATAATTAAGGAAGCATTCAGCCTGCTGAACCTGTAAGACTGCACAGATAGCAGAGGTTTAAAGCAAAAGACTTCTATCTTCTAGATATAACAACGTTTTCTTCGAACTTTAAAAAGAATATTTGGAACTATAGCTGAACAGCAGTCAGTGTTATACATACATATTGTAACTAAATCCCAAGTTGAGAAGAATCAGCGATCTGAAGTTTACATAAGCTTGGAAATAGCGTTCATACTCTATTTCACTGTGCTTAAGTGATGATACCTGGATAGTGTAAGGTGGTGGGAAGTATGGTAATCTTTGAAAGTCAACAGTGTTTCTGGAAAGTGACTTGGAAAGTGTGCACACGGGGGCCGTGGTGTCTGTGGCTGATAAAGGCTGAGACATTTGTGGCTCAGTGTGAGTTTTCAGGGCTCTGGCAGAAAGTAGTGCTTATCCAACTGCAGGCCTGCGTCCTATCAGCTGCTTTTGGACGGCTGTACACGCCACTCTCACACCTGCTGATTCTTCTGGCACTTCCACAGAGGTCGGTGATAACGAGATGAGCCACACGAGATGGCCTTATGCAGGAGTCAAGCTTATGCTGAAACTTCTTAAAGTCAAACAGGAGTAAATGATGAGGCAGAAAAAAACATACAGCTGGAAACAGCATGGTCCCCCATTGAAGGGAATTGATTACATTCATGTCATAGTGCTGTGCTGTGCAATCGTGAACATGAGGATTGCAGTTTATTACCCTGCATGCATGTGTGTGTGTGTGTCTTCTCCTAGTAGTTGTTGCCCTCACTCGTGCTGTCTTCCCTCAGTTCTCAGGCCTGTAATGTGATCTGAGTGTGTCTTACTCAAGAAAGGGCCAAGGGGATACCCATCAGAGCCGATCTGC